AGAGAGAGAGAGAGAGAGAGAGAGAGAGAGAGAGAGAGAGAGAGAGAGAGAGAGAGAGATGACTTCTCAAGAGAGCTACACTAGGTCTTTGAAGTATGATAGTTTGAGCCTGGTCATTTGTGACTCGAGACAGAACTCAGAACATGGTATTCTCAGGAATCTTTTCCAACATCAGAGTTCAAAAATATCAGTGTTCTTTCTATACTGCTTCTTAAGAAATAAAAAGATAAAGATAAAACAAAGAGGTATCAAAATTTTCAAGATTTCACTTTTAAAATATAAATATCTTAATTGTATTTACATAAATCATGATAATTCAAAATTAAATACTGAATTAAACCTATACCAAATGGAATGATATTGTAATGATCTTGCCTCTCCATCAAAAGAGAGCTACTTCAAAGGCTGAGGCTTGACGAATTTCATTGAAGCAACATTTAGAAGCTTAACAATTTTTTTGCAACTATCCAAGCACAATTTATTCAAAGTCCTTCAGTAATTGGATAAAAAGCAAAACAAACAAACAAAATTTAAAAATACAGTATTATTAAAAGGGCATTCTGGCATTCTAGCAGCCCCCCTCCTCTTTCTTTCCCCCTCTTTCTTTCTCCCCCAACCATTATTTGCTACCTGAATATTTTTACACTTTACTTTAGATATTATTACTCATTTCTGTTTGGATCATTTTAGTTGTTGTTGTTATTGTCAGTTTTTAAACAATTTCTCTTATTCTCCAAAAAACATATTCTAAGTGTCTTAGCGTGCCTTGCTGTGTGATATGTTGTATATCAGGGAACCATTCCCGACTGAATTTGGTTAGACTTCTGCTATGAATGTATAGCGTCCGTTTTTCCATTCTTGCATATTCTTCAGTTTTAGTCTCCCAGTCCTATACTGATGGCAAGGTTTCACTTCGTTTGTGTTCTCTGAGATCATACCTAATACAAATAATTTTGGTTTTAATTCCAATTTTATTTTCAGAATTTTCTGAATGCTTTAGTGTATTTTTTCCAATACTTTTGAGGGTTTTTTTTTTCTTTTCATAACCACTACATCTGATAAAACATTCCTTCTTTACTGTGGCATTTCCAACATTTATTATTGTATGAGTTATCCATCCTGGCAAGTGTTGGCAGAGTTATAAACTATCTGTAGATCATTTTCTACCAATTTTCCCTCAGTTTGTAGCTTGGTTAAATTTTTTTTTCCATAAACTTTCCCATTGAGGCACTGTTACTGCTTCTTAGAAATTTAGATAGTTAGAGATGGATAGATAGATGATAGTGAATTCTTCTCTGTTGTTTCTCTCTCTCTCATCCTGCTGTTGCTTCTTTTTGATGTTTGTTGATGTTTACTAAATAAACAAACATCAAGCTAATTTTTTTGCTAGCAGACCTGAGCGGTGTTTGTGCTTCCTCTGATCTGCATAGAGGGATTGATCAGACTAAACTGGAATTTAATCACAATAGTTTTCCAACAAAACACACCCTGTGGCTCAGGAGAAAGGGGAAACATAAAACTCATAATATTCACAGACCACCTATTTATGCTTGAGAAGGGAAATATGGCCCAAATTTATAACACAGACAGGAAGAAGCACCCTTACTAGTGGGTCAAAACCCCTAAGACTGGCTTGTAATACATCCCCCCACCAAGAACCCAGGTGGATGGTTTTGTTTTATAGCTTGCCATCTTAGTCTTTTAAAATTTAAGGGATGGATTTCTTTATCTATTTCCATATCTTTCTCCACTTAATTCATATCTGCTTCTTTGCCAGCTTCATGGAAATGCAAGACTTCATCCCAGCAAATCAAACTTGGTGTCCATTCAGACAGCCGCTTTAACGTGCTTTCCGTTAATCCACGAGGCAGGACAAAAGTGAGAGAAAGAGTGACACCCCCAGCCTTGAAGGAGACAAAGCCATTGCTTAACATGGCTGTCTTCAATAATTATTGAGCATCTCCAACCTACCTGCCTTTTTAAGGTAAGGTGGGAGAGAAAATGGGTGGCTGCTGGTTACAGTTGCAGAGGGCTGAACCCTGGCAGAAACCAATGATCTAGATCAGTGTTTCTCAACCTTGGTGAATTGAAGATATGTGGACTTCAACTTCCAGAATTCCCTAGCCAGCATGCTGGCTGGGTAATTCTGGGAGTTGAAGTCCACATATCTTCAAGTCACCAAGGTTGAGAAACACTGATCTAGATACCTTTCAGTCAAGATCCATGCTTGAAGCATGGAACTGAACTGCACTGGTCACTCTTGGGGATCATCTGCTTCAGGACCTAGAGGGGGTGTATGTATCTCTCCCACAAAGTTCCCATGACTTCCAGGCATGCAGAGACTCCTACAACTGAATAGTTACCTAGGTGACTTAGGTGGCATACAAATTGATGAATAAATAAAAATAAAATATATTGGGTGAATGACTAATATTGTAATCGCCCCAACCCAGACCTTGATGCTAACCTTGATGTGAAATAAAACAGGGTCTGCTCTGAAACAGGGTTCCTCTGAGATGGAAGGTGCAGACAGGAAAACACCACTTTCTTGGAAATCTGCTTGTCCTGAGTCCTTTGTGGCAGCCTAGGAAGAAATAGAGAGTTGAGCAAAGTTGATGATGGGGTCCTCAGCATCCTCTCAGAGGAACCAGCTGCTGTGACTGCAGGACATGGTGGGGAGCTTGAAGCATCCTGGTCTCAGGGAAAGAGAGAGGAGGGGCGGGCAGGATGCCCTATAAGAGCCAAGAAGAAGAAAGGAGTGGAATTGTTTGCACTTCTTTTCCTAATGAATAATTCATTGTGAGCCAAGCAGGAGCAATGTGTTTGAGGATGGACTTCCCAGGGCTGAAAGGACATACTGGATTGGCTAAGAACTTGTACTAAATTGCTGCCTGTGTTATCGATGAAGGAAGGAAGGAAGGAAGGTGTAATTTTTAGAGGGAGATGTTAGATGGCATTTGTGGTAGCAAAGGGGGGGGGGGAAATCCTTGAGTCTTTGCATCAGCATCGTCCACATTCCAGGGCAAGAACTCACCTCACGCTAATTAATATAGTCCCTGTAATGATGCAGCTAGATTTTAGCTATAGTCTCCTCTAGCAGCCTTTGCTAGCCCTGGATTTGGTCTTATCTGGGAACCTGGGAACCTGGCGTTTGCCAGTGGAGCCCTCTCCTCTTTATTTGTAAAAAAAAACTCTTTAAACTGCGCAAAGGTATTTCCCTCCCAGAAGAAAGGGTATCTTCTAGAATAACCAGGCCCAGTCTGATGCTTATCCAAGAGGTTGGGTGGTCGGGTGGGCTTTATGCCTCGCCATAAAGAAGTCATCATCCCAACACATGGAGGGGGGACCAGGCTGGAGAAAGTGCCTTTGCCTCCATGGTTTGGAGAAAGCCCACTTCAATTATTTGTTGGATTTGCTGGAAGATCAGATGGAAAAGAACAACAAAACCACTTTCTTTAAAATATTATGGATGGTAGTCGTGTGTTCTGGGCTCATAGCTTGTGGAATCTTTAATTAAACAGAAAGCAAGCTTGGGTTGGCCATAGAAATGTGTGAATTTGTGATCATAATAAGCAGACTGAATTACTAAACTGCGTAAGAAAATTTTCCAATCCATAGTACAGTACTTTATTTTTATAAGGTCGCAATAAGAAGAAACACGACAAAAAGGTTGCATACATATTTAAAAGTCCAGATCACATTTTAAGCAGGCAATAAGTTACAAAGCAAAGGAAACGGAGGTGTGGCAGGAGATAAGGAACAAAAGCAAAAAAGAAGGCTGATCATGTTGAATCATGAGATTTGTGTGATACAGAAAAAAGCTGCAAGAATTAGAATTTGGAATGCTTAATGGTTATTTTCCATTGAATTTTTATTTTGAAATGCACACCCTACTGAGTATTTCTATGTAGCAGATTAACAACCGACTTCACTAAATTAAGTCAGAAGATTTGCCAGCCCCCAGGTTTTCTCCATCTGGCAAGGTCTTCAGAAGAGCAATGCTGATGGAGGACGAGGTTGCACCTCATATGAGTTCCTTGAACTTTAATCTGGCCAAGGCTCTCAGCTGCTAAAGGCATTAGGAGGCTTCCCCCTCACCGCCCCTCCCCCACCCCCATACCTCCATGGCTCTTTCACAAACCAACAGCCACAGGGCACAATGAACCTCTTTGATAGGCAAACGGTTTTCTTACTCAAATGTGCTCGGGTTTTCCACTTCCCGCTGCCAAACAGAACTTAATTTAAGACTGAAACCCCAGATGGGCCACATAAAACATTACTGTGGTCTGGGCTATATTTAGCCTTCTCTCCAACCATAACCCACACACTTTCCTCTTCTCTTCCCCTCTCCCAACTTTGCCTTGCCCGAAGCATGCTTTCGACACAGGTTTAGCATGTGTCTTTCATGCACACCTCCCTGCGGGTCTGAGAGTGCCATTGCATTTTATTTACCATATTTACATTCTGCTTGGAAAGGTCAACAAAAAATAAACAACAACAACAAGAATCCCACAAACTCTCCATCAGGGTCACAGCAAGGAAAAAAATAGAGAAATCCCAAAGACGTTAATCATTAAAAAGTTACCAAAAAGAAAAAAGCCTAGTAGAAAATAGAAGAATTCAGTAATAACTTCAGCCTGAATGATGTAGTCCCCCACAAAGAACATTAAGAGAAAGTGTAAGAAAACAAATATATATTTCAAGCTCACTATAGGCTCTATAATGATGGGAACCACAAAGACTGAATGAAACTGGCATGTGCCTTCTGATCTCATCCTACGCGTAGCTGTTTGTAATGACTGGAGCTGTCCTGATTTTTCTAATATTCCCTACACACCGTGCTCAGCCTAGCGCTACAACTCCCAGGATTCATAGCCAGCTAGACTGGGGAAGGCTGTTCTATATGCTCTATATTCATCGCTACATACCTTTTCAAATATCTCATTTTTTTTAGATCATCAATTTATAGATTGCTCTGAAATATGTAATCTCCAGCGAGGTTCATGAACTATAAGATCTTTAAAAGGTCTTTAAAATCCTGGATCCACTCACCTGCAAAGAACTGAATAAAACCAGCAGTAAAAGAATCAGAAGTTTAAAAAGAAAATGCCCCGAATGTTAAGAGCTTGGGGAAATAAAAATATATTAGCATAGCAGTGAAGCAGCCCCTATGAAGGGACAGGAGTCTACAATCATAGCAGCACAAGGGAGAAAGATCTCTCTCTCTCTCCAAGTCTCAGCTACTTATCAAGCAGCAGATGCATCAAAGAAAGGGCCTATATGAACAAACTGCTATGGTATCTTCCAGAGTCCTAGGGCTACTGGATCTGGGCTATAAAAATCTGGATGACTGCTAGATGTTAGGAAAGAGTTCATTTTCTGTATCTCTCGGCCATCTAATAGCTCTCTGGATTTTTGTAGCCCAGATATGGTAGTCCTATTTCTTGAAGATGCAAGCAATAGAAATTAAGCCTGTGTCAACATGAGCTAGACTTAGGTAGCTGCTGGGCCTCTGAATTCTCACAGATGATGTTTGTATTGTCCCCTTCATGATTTTTTTCTGTCCCTACACCCAAAGCAGTGCCCAAGTGAAGGGGCATTGCTGCTACCGCACCCTACTAATAAAGAAAAAAACTTGCAGATAGATGAATAACATGAAAAGGCAATTCCAGGACTGGCCCTACTATTAGACAAGGTGAAGAAACTACCATAGGCAGCAGATATCGCCTGACTTGGCATGCCCTGTGCCTCCTTAGCTAGCCTGCTGCCCTCAGACATAGAAGAAGACACTCACCAGTGTAGAATGAAGTTAAAATTGCTATTCTGATTCCTTTCTCTACATGGAATGGGAGATATAATGATTAATGAGCCTGCTGCAGAGTTCACTGAGAAGATCTTTGCAAAACCCATAAAACTGAATAGGAGTTATGAAGGGCCACAACAGTCTTGCTTTTACAGCTCACTGATCATTTCAGAGAAGCTCCTGTAGAAATGCTTCTGCATCTTAAACAGCAAAGTATAGAGAAAAAGGGACAGATAACTCTGGATAGGCTTATGAAATTGGCCAAGGCTATTGTTATGTTGATAGGGATGGGGATGGGGATGGGGATGGGGATGATGATGATGATGTTCATCATCATCATCATCATCATCATCATCATCATCATCATCATCATCATCATCATCCAAGTGTTCCTCTGAAAGTTCAAGCCACTTATATAGGGCGAGGGGTCTCCTTATTTTATCCCATTGGCAATAATTATTTAAACCATTCAACAATAATCATGTCCTGAATATGTCAGTACACTGAATGTACCTCCTAGTGGGATGCAGCAACAATATGTTGCAAGTCTGTATAGTAGTTTAGAGATCTTAGCTTGCACTGAATAGCATGAGCATGCTGTTGATAAAAGCCGGTTTGGTTGTAGTTGTAGCATACTGGCCAAAAATGTGCTGAAATGTATGGGGACTGTCCATCCCTTTAGCAGGGAATGCAGCACTTAGTATGGATATGATTAAGGTTGGTAACCTAGTCTAATTCTCTCCTCTTACTAAAAAGCATTTTGCAAAAGCTTCACTTGACCAAAGCCAAGATGCCAAGCAGAGGTCAACATCTATGGGGCCATCTGGTGATGACCACAGGATATGGAAGATTGCAACTTGCAATATAAGAGGAGTAAATTGTAAAGTGCATGAATTAATGAATGAAATTAAAGAAAGAGAAACAGAGTAATTGTATGTTTGTGAACTAAGAGAAAGGGGAAGGATGTAATTTATGTGAATGTGAATAAATGTGATCTGATCTTACAGAATGGAATTGATACATACATATAGGAAAGTGAAGGTGTAGGTTTATTTATCAATGAAAGGTCTAACATATATGTGAAAAAGTATGAATTGGTGTCATCTAGATTGTTGTGGGTTTTGTGTAGAAATAGAAACTTTCAGATTGGTGATATTGTAAGTTATTGTTGAAAATACCTTGGACCTCAAGGACAGCACAAATCATTCAGTCCTACAGGAAGGAGAACTTCACTAGAAGCACTACTAAAGAAAGTAAAGTCTAAATACTTTGAACACACAGTTTGAAGGGAAGAATGTTTGGAGAAGATCCTGATGCTTGAGAAAACCAAAGACAATTTAAAAAAGAGCTGAAAGAAGTCAAGGTGGTTTGATGCTATCTCTGATGACACGCGTGAGCTTAGAATAAGTCAAAGAAGTAGTTGCTGACTGACATGCCTGGTGAAATGATGCCCATGGTGTCACAAAGAATCACAGGGGCTGAGTAACTGAACAATAAAATAAGGTTATGTGAGGTCTCTTTGATTGTTTAAGGTATTTACGGATACATGTATAAGGAATGTATTAGAGGTCTATTGGATGGGGGCATGAATGTATGTGTGCTATGTTGTGTTTTTATCTGAAAACTCACACGATTTGAAGCAAGTGTTAGGCATGGTACAAATTAATATATCAAAGTTATATAAGGATTGATAAGGAAAATGCAATGAACACTTGTAGTTTATACATACATGATGAGAAATTAAAGCAAGCAGATGAATTTGAAGTTGGGAAATTTGCAGA